AGAAGACCTGAAATAGGATCCAGAGATCCTGCCTTTTCCTACCTAGTATCCAAGATACTGTACCATTTTTAGTTAGAGTAGTTTATAAGTTAAAACAAAATAGTGCTACTGTGGGTTCCAAAGAACCTTGAGAATGCTTTTCTCTTGATGTAATTATCATGCATTGAAGGACAAATCATCAAATATCCTTATTCTAATTTTAACTTCTAATTTTAACTTCTGATGACTATTAAATGCTTTTATGTATTTATGCCTTAGTGTTAATTAAGTTGTAGCCTCACCTAATATTTATAAGTTTACAGATTTATCTTGCATGGAAAGAATTCCTTAAAAATATATACAATTATTATTTTAACTATCTTTAAAATTATAATCTTTACAAATTTATGTCTATTTTGTTGCTATATGCTATGATAACTCCAACTCTTCAATTTTAATTATCATGAAGTTCGACTCCGATCAATACTAGATCAGGTATTAGATGTTCAAGTAATCAGGCACTGCTTTAGATTTGGGGATCCTGGATTTTCACCAAGGTCTCTGCTGAGTTCCAAGTATGTAATTTAGCACAAGCAACACAATGAAAACAACTCAGCATAACTATGAGGAGAATTTGTTCCAGGAGAGATATTCTTAGGTGCCATATTTGAGCTGGGTTTTATAGGAATTTTTGAAAGAAGGAAATGAGAGGGAATTCCTGGCAAAGAGAACAGTATATGAGAAGGTGCGGAGCTGATATGAGGATGTTTCCAGCAATGTAAAAAGGTTGTTTGTTGAAAGATCCTAGCACAAATAAGGCTGGATGCAATGTTCAGGGGCAGATGGGAAGTCGTATGGATAGACATTTAGGAAACCCTTGAATTCTTGGCTTCATTTCAAACATTGAGTACTGAGGAAATTTAAATGATTTTAAAGTAATAGTATAGGTGGCCTTGAAGAGAGACTAGAGTTAAACAGAGAATTGATGGGAAAGATGCTAACTGATCAACTTACTATATAGTATCTTTAGAATGTTTTCATGATTTTATACTTAAAGTTATGAAAGTGTCAAACTGTCCTGAAATACAATTATTAGTTAAGTTTTAAAAGTAAAATACCACTTGTCTTAAATTTTGTCCTGAATATCATAAGACATTTTTAATTTGATACTGCTAAGCTTTAATATTTAAAAAGACTGTCCTCTTAAAAATATTTGCTTTTGCCAGGTGCCAGTAGCTCATGCGTGTAGTCCTTGCTACACAGGAAGCTAAAAATCTAAGAATCTCAGTTCAAACCCAGCCCAGGCAATAAGACTCTTATCTCCAATTAATTATCAAAAGCCAGAAGTGAAACTGTGGCTCAGTGGGTAGAGCATTAGCCCTGAACATAGGAGGCTCAAGGACAGTGCCTAGGCCCTGATTTCAAGCCCCAGGACTGGCAAAAAAGACTTGTTTTACTCTTCATGTCCACAAGATTGTATTAACTAAATAAGTACTAAAAAATTCATCCAACTTGCCCAACATTTCTGTGTTCCTCTTTTACATGAATCTGATCCAATAAAATTCGCTCTGTCTATTCTGTGTAAGTTAAAATCCTCTTCTACTTTGACCTGTCAGAATCCTATTCATCCATCCATCAAAGTCCAACTCATAATTCTTGTGTGACCTTCCTTCTATATAACCAGTACCACTTTGCATCTTTTAACTTATCTCTCCCTTTCTGCTTTTGCATTATAAATACCAGTGTACTTGTCTGAGCTCTTAAATAGCAGTCAAAATGTGCCAAGATTACTTTTATTATAGCTATTTGACTTGATATATTTATACCCCTACTCACTGAAACTTAGCAATATTATATTGGTCTCTTATTCTAAAGGTATCAGATGAAAAGATAATGCCATCAATACTCCTCTTACCTGGCAGAGTTAATTTACAAGACTGTGACTGTAAAGCCCAAAACAGAACTTACTGTTCAGCCCTTAGGAAGTAGTAACAACACTTTGAAAAGTCTTAGCAAGATTTTCTATATTCAGACAAAGGACCATGACTTCATTCCTGCCAACCTCCAAAGCATAATAAACTACTGTCACTTTTGGCGTGAATCCAACTTTGCCATTAACTTTCCTCATAAAATTTGATTAAAGGGCATTGTAAGGCTTTTCTAATTAGGATAGTGCATTAGGAATTTATTTCCTATCCACAGTATGTCACAGTCTGAATGACACTGAAATTTGATGCATACCTGTAAGCCTGTGGCTGATAAATTTTTGGCCTTTTATTTTCTGATGGAGAATTATTAAATTACTTTCACCAGTCCAAATTCTTTTTCTTTCTCTTATGCCAGTACTGGGGTTGAACTTGGGGCCTTATGCGCTTTCTCGGCTATTTCACTCAAGGCTGGAGCTCTACCACCTGAACCATACTTCTGCTTCTAGCTTTTTGGTGGTTCATTAGAGATATGAGTTTCATAGACTTTTCTAGCCAGACTAACTGCAAACCAAGACCCTCAGATCTTAGCCTCCTGAGTACCTATAATCATAGGCGTAATTCTGTATTATTTTAACAAGTGATTGAAATGTTGTTTATTGAATTAGTATTTAATTCTTTAATTATCAATTAAATTATTTAAACAAACAATTATATTGTTGTCTATATATTATAAAGAAGTCATTGAGTTAGCTACAGCTCCTGGTTATTTTCTACCAGCATTCATCAGTGCATTGGTATATTTTATAATACTTGGTTAAATAATAATGGTTGATTAGCTTGCATAATCATGAGTTGATGATTATTAATAATAAATTTTCCCATCATTATAATGTATTAGCATATATTAGCTACTTGTACAAATCTGGATGAGTCGGTAGATTTAACTCTGGATTTGTAGTAATTCTTTATCTTCTGAGAGTATTTTGGATGGCAAACTTACATCACTGTTTTTATTCAGTTCTTATATAGTAGTTAAGAACAGAGATTGTTACCAAATCAAGACACTTCATGTGGGCTAACTTTTCAACCTATAACTTATTTTCTAACTTTTTATTTTAATGAAATATTTTCGAAAGACTCTGCCCCATTTAATGTTTGAATATTTCTGTCAAGTTACTTGTAAGTAGATACAGGAGAGGCAGAACACTAAGATAAAAAACACTCAGTGCTGACTCAGTTCCTTGGTTTCTTTGAGCATCATCTCTCTCAGAAAAATGTGTGCAGCCAGCTGTGGTGGAATATTTCTGTAGAGAGGTTTCCTGCGGTGATACTAATGATCTGTGAACTGCATCTATATAGATGATCTTTCTCCCCAGGTGATTCAAAGTTGAGAAGACCTGAAGTGTCTTCAATTAGTCTATTTACATGTCAGTCTTCCTTTAACCAAACACAGTTCCGTTCTTGTTTTTTTTGGGGGGGGGATTGCATTTTTTATTGTCAAAGTGATGTACAGGAGGAGTTACAGTTATATAAGTAAGGTAATAAGTACATTGCTTGTCAAACTTGTTATCCCTTCCCTCATTTTTCTCTTACTTTCCTTCTCCCTCCCTTCCCACCCCCAAGTTGTACAGATCATTTCCAACATATTGTTTTGTGTATATTGCTGTTGCATTGGTTCTTTGTCTCACAATTCTGTTGTTCCCCTTCCCTTCCCTGATTGAAATAAATATATATACAATACCAGGATACCAAAATCATATACAGTGACAACATGGGATATACCATAGAGGGAAGAACATACAAAAGAAACAAAAAGTCAAATAGTACATTAAAAACAACAACAACAAAGAAAAACCTCTTGTGTCCATGTCTTGGAGTTCATTTTGCTTCGTGTCATCTTATATGGTCATATATACATAGCTATTGAGGTATGCAGCTCATCTGCGAAGATTATCCTAGATGTATACTAATTATTGCAAATAAGGGAACTTTCCCCATGGGACCTATGTTTCTTTCTTTGGGTCAGCTTATCACCTCAGCCCAGTTAGAATGGCTATAATCAAGAAATCTAGTAACAACTGATGCTGGAGGGGATGTGGCCAAAAGGTAACCCTATTGAACTGTTGATGGGAGTGTAAACTTGTTCAACCAGTCTGGAAAGCAGTATGGAGGTTCCTCAAAAGACTCCACATAGAGTTTCCCTATGAACCAGCAATCCCATTTCTGGGCATTTACCCAAATGATCACAAACAAGGCCATACTAAAGCTACTAGCACAACTATGTTTATTGCAGCATTATTCACCATAGATAAGATATGGAACCAACTCAGATGCTCCTCAGTAAATGAATGGATCAAGAAAATCTGGCAGATATACACAATGGAATTCTATGCTTCCTTCAGAAAGAATGATGCAGCCCCATTTGTAAGGAAATGGAACGATTTGGAAAAAATCGTATCAAATGAAGTTCTGTTCTTTATGCACCCGAACCTCTATTTGTGCACTTGTCACAGAATTTCCTGGATCCCATGGATCTAACTAATTTTCATTTGTTAAAAATCTGTTGTAAAATATTTTGAGTGAACTCCCCAAAACAGAAAATCCTTTATCTTAATTGCATTCCTTGCTGTGATTAAAAAATTTTCAAGACCTGCTTCCCATAGTATAGAATTGGATTTGAGTTATTACTGTCTATTGAGTGAGTCTTGTCTTCTTGTCACATTACTGAATACTTTGTGTGAATTCATTTAGCATTGAATATTATGCCATCTGTATATTAGACCATGTTAAACTCTATGTACATGTAGGAGGGTAACATTCTAGTGAGACATTTACCTGTTGATAACAGAAAATAAGAATAGATAGAAATCCAGTTAACAAAATGTATTTGGATCACAAAATATATAAAGAAAGAAATGTTATAATTGAAGCCTCAGGACTGTCACACACAAAATAACGATGTAGTAAATTTTATATGTATTTTAGCACAATTAAATATATATATATACATATATGTGTATATGTACATGGAACATCTTCATATGTTTTAAGTTTTTCCAAACAATAAACCATTATTTCTTTGGTTTCTTACAGAGCCTTCTACTTGGACAAGTCAAATTCACCACCAAACTCCACATCTAAAGCTGCTTATGTAGATAAGGTAAAAGTAGATGATTATTCTGATAGTGCATTGTTATTCACATGCCTCCCTTATCTACTTTTTATTCTGCTCTTTTTTGAGCAACGTGCAATTATGAATATTTGCAATCTCTACTTCCTTTGCCTGCATAACAGCCAATATATTTGGGACTGCTCATTAAAAGCTATGAACTTGTGAACTTCATTGCATCTACATAGATTTCTATTAACCGTGTTGAACTTCACAGTCCTCAATTTTTTCTGCAGCTCATGAGGCCTCTCAATGCTTTGGATGAGCTCTATCGCCTGGTAACCTCATTCATCAGATCCAAGCGGACAGCTGCTTGTGCAAACACGGCATGCAGTGCATCTGGAGTTGGACTGCTGTCAGTTTCCTCAGAACTCTGTGACAGGCTGGGGGCCTGCCACATCATCATGTGTAGCAGTGGTGTGCATCGGTATGTGAGCTTACCTGCCTTTTATATAGTGGTTTTTATCTGCATGTTGGCTAGATGAAGTGAAAAGTAGAAACATCCAAAAGTCTCAGATGCATTTGACAAAGAAATTCACATGTTTTCTTGTTTGGGCTTTTACATTTTAAGTGACTAGTCTAATAAAGATATGAATACAGTCCTGCCTACATTTATAATATGGTGATCCAGAATCTTTGTCCTTTTTGTATTTGTATTTGCCATATTTGTATTCTAGATACAAAGTGTGAGTCCTGCTTATGTACTTAGTAGGAGGTGAAGTTAACTACTTCATCAGCCTGTTTCTTGTGCTTGATGGATATATATTTTTCTGTTAAGTGACTGATATACTTGTAGGCCAAGTGACGTGAGCCGCCTTCTCTCATAAAGCAAAATGATGGTCCAGAACAGGGCACTAGTAGATCATGGTTGTAATCCTTGCTACCCAGGAGGCTGAGATCTGAAGATTGTGATTTAAAGCCAGTCTGCAGGGGTATAGAGTATATGGAAATATATGTGATGTAGGAAAGTTACAGATAAACTATAAGATTAGGAGGGAAGATACATCTTACACACAGTGAAAAGTTTACTTAAAGCTTAGTTAACTGTATTATCTACAACGGGTTAGGTCAAGCATTTTTCATAGCAGAGAAATGATCTCCCTTCTGATAAACGTATCTGGTTCCCTGTGTTTGCTTGTGGTCCTTTCATTCTGTCCATGTTCATGGAGCACTAGTTTTATAATTGCTGTTTACATTGATTCTTATGTTAGAATATAAGGAACACTAAAATGTTTTCATAATTGACTTTCTCCATCTCAAAAGAGCTTTAGTTCATTTCAGGAGATATGTAGGCACTAGTGTCCCAGTCAGAACTGAATTTAAAGTTAAAACTGGATGCGTTTATTTTCATATTATGTGAACGAAAAAGGAGTTTAACATAATCTTTGATTTTTTAGCAAAGCCTTTACTTAGATTTTTTTATGAAGATAAAATATGTGCTAATTTTCATTTGAATCCAGAATCCAACAGAAAGCTGTTTCTAAAATAATCCTTTAGTAATTCTAATTGAGAAAGGGAGAGGAAGCCAAGCAGTTCCACACCTGTATGAAACATTAAACATAGAGATCTACCCTCTGCTTTGCAGTTATTTTTATCATCTGCTTTTAAAATCAAGGTAAGAAATGGTCAACAGTATGGTATCCACATTTAATAGTCAGTTTCCTGCAATTTCTGGTTTTATTGGACAAAAACAAGAAGGCCTAGGATTTTTTAAAGTATTGCATTATTTTATTGTGCATGTTTGGTATTAGGAGGAAGAAGGTAGATTCCAGAATGAAAAGGAAGGTTTAATTAGTATTAACGTTTAGTGTTTTAATGAAAGCCTGAATAAAATGTCAGAACTGCATATAATAGTGAATATAGGGAAGTAGCACTGTGGCTTAAGTGGTAGAATGCTTGCCTTGAGCTGAAGAGCACAGGGACAGCGCCCAAGCCCAGAGAGCAGGCTCCACGACTGACAAAAAAAAAATAGTGAATATAGGATAGAGGAGAATTCAATATGAATTATTGAATTCTTCCCATAACATTTAGCCTGGCTTTGTTTTTATGAAATTTACTTTCCTCAGGTAGTTATTTGAGAGCATTGTTAGTCAACTAATGAACTCTCCTGACCATGTTATTGGCAGCCATTCACTTGCATGTAACATCTCTAATACCTTTGCTCTACCACTTGAGTCATATCTTCAGTCTGGCATTTTGTTTGTTAATTAGTAGTAAGAATCTCACAGACTTTTCTGCCTGTATTGGCTTTGAAAATCAACCCTCAGATCTTTACCTTCTGAGTAGTTAGGTTCACTTGCATTAGTTCCATATGCCCTATTAGAAAAGTTCTCTTTTTAAGGTCAGGATATTGTCTTGAACATGATAAAAAGATGGTTTACTATCTGAAAAAATATTTTCGCAATTGTCTCTCCTGCAAAAGCTTTTTAAATTTTCATTTGCATTCTCTCACATGTTCAAATAATATACATTTGAACACCATTGTATTAGTATATATAACATCTTAGACTATGTATGATAGCAAAGTGCTCAACCTGGCTAATTTATGCCAAGCAGAAACTTACTTCCTTGTAGTTGTGATGGCTAGAACACTTAAGACAAAGTCACTAGCAGCCTAAGTGTCTCAGCCTAAGTGTCTGTTGAAGGCTCCCAAGATTCTTCTTAGATGGCATCTTAAATTTATCTTCTTATGTGATGGATTAAAAAAAAAAAGGAAAGCAGCCACATTGCACCTCTTCTGTAAGATATGACTCCATTCACAAGGGTTCCACCTTCTGATATCTTCCCACTGCTAATTAGATATCAATGTATTAATCTTGGAGAACACATTCATAGCATGTGGTTTAAATCAGTTTTATGCTTATGGCAATTATATGTGTGCATATATATACACACATATTTTATATATATATATATATATATATATTTCCCAATCAGGCACACAGACTTCAAATATGTCCTCCAAAGGTCATATGTTGGAAAATTAAACACCAGTGCAATGGTGGGGCCTAATAAGAGGTGATTGGAGCATGAGAGTGTTGCCTCATGAATGAATTAATTAAATGAATGAAACCATCAGAGGAGTGCATTTGTCATTATGAGAGTGGGTAATTATAATAGTGACTTTGGCATTCCTGTGCTCTTCTCTCTCTGGTGCTCTCTTGCTCATCTATCTTTTACCTTGGGATGTTTCATCAAGATGCTCTTCGCATATGACCTCTTGACCTTGGACTTCACTATCTCAACTGTAATAACTAAAGCTTTGTTCTTTATAAGTTATGCAGTTTTGGGCATTCTGTTATATTAGTCCAAAGAAAACATTTTCTCATTGTCTTTTATTGGCTACATAATATTTCAAGCAGTAGGTATTCTACCATTTACTAAACAATTCATTCAGTGATTGCTCTTAGTTCTCCATTGTCCTTAGCACCTACAGAGAGGCATCTTTTCTATAGACTGCTGTCCAGATGTGAGTTTTATTTTCTTAGGTAAAGTCAAAAATATCCTCTAGTTAGGATGTTGTGTCAAAAAATTTAAAGCCTTTTTGGTTAATATATTGTTGTGCAGTTTCAAAAAAAAAGACTCCCTTCAAGCACAATAAGGTGAAGAGATGTATGCACATCCACCTTCTCTGCCAGGGTTATTAGGATATATTTGTGTACTGAGCTTCTTTCCTACATGTGCAATTATACATTTTTGTAGTGCTTTAACTTATACTTCTTAATTAACAAATACAAGCATTTGGTACCTTGGATTCTCTTTCCTACAGAGAACTGCTATTTTGATTGTGTACTACCTACTATATAGATCAAATTACTTTTTGCCAAATGGAACCGTTTAAGTATTGAATCAGCACTATGGCATCTCAAGTTCTCTTTTGTATCTATGCCAATTATTTGTTGCAGGCAATCACAGCTTGCTACAGGGATTTCTTTTATTTCTTACTGCGGCATCTTTCCTTTCAGTGCAGTATTTTCATTTGTTTGGGTTCTTCATTCCCTCCCATGCTTAACAGCCAACTGTTTTGTACTTTAACTAATATAAATCAGTGTGCTGCAAAGATACAAAGATTTCATCTTGCTGAGTCCAAAAACAGAGATGCCCCATTCCTTCCACCATATTGATTTTTGTTTCTTTAGCCAGTGAGAAACAGGTCCCTGGGGCTACCTGAAAAGATAAATACTAAAGAAATTCTAGTAAGGAAAGGGATCTGGGCCCTTGGTTTGTCTCTCTAAGGATTTATTCCAGGGAACTATGGTCCTTACATGCTTCCCGCTATATTGTTTAATAGTGGGTGATGTGTGGTGTCAAAAGTGTTGGTGTGAGTAGCCCTAAGGATAGGTGATGGGTGATTTGGGTGCTAGTCTCATGACTGTATCCTGTGATGTCTTTAATAATGAACAGTGGAGAACTGTAAACATGAAATCAACTTTATCTTCCTGTGAAGTTGAATCTCTTCCAGAAAATGAGGCCTTGCATTGTGTGTATGTGTGTGTGTGTGTGTGTGTGTGTGTGTGTGTGTGTGTGTGTGTGCTGTTACTAGGGCTAGTACTCAGAATTCACTTATTTTTATTTTTATTGTTACTGTAAGGTTGATATACAGAGGGGTTACACTTACATGAATCAGGTAATGAGTACAATTTTTTGAACCCTGTCTCCCTTGCCTCGCTCTCTACTAGTTTTTCCCTTTCATCCTCACCCACAAGATGTACAGCTCATTTTCCACATTGTTCACCCTTTGTTCCACCTTTTCTGTGCTCTTCTTACCCTCCCAAATATAAGCAAACAAAAGGAAAAGAAAACAAAAACAACAGTAATTAAAAATAACTCTTGTTTGCGTTCCTTGGAGTTCATTTCATAAAATACTATTTTATATAATCATATGCACATAGCTATTGAGCCTTTGTCAATTACTGCTATGAATATTCTCCTTTGGCCTTAAGTGTGTGAATGTCTAGCACCTGCGTAATTTATCATGTAGAACATTCATTATTGATTGTTATTTTCAGCTCAAAGCTGGCACTCTTCTACTTGAGCCACACTTCCACTTCTGGCTTTTTACTGGTTAATTGAAGATGAGTCTCACAGATTTGTTTGCCCAGGCTGGCTTCAAACTTCTGTCCTCAGATCTCACCCTCGTGAATAGCTAAGATTCCAGGCATGAGCCATTGGCAGGCACCCAGCAGATGCCTTGAATTTTTAAATAATGTTCCTTGACTCCTATCATCTAGAGAGGGGATGTCAAAAACACCACCTTCAGAAGGGCCTGTGAGCTCCAGGGACTCAGGGGCACCTACCTCAGGTTGAATCATAACTAGACAATGTGGAAGAATATGTATAGCAATTTCAGCCTGTTGCCAGTATTGAAAAATGTACTAGCAATAAGGACCAATGAACATCAATCTACTCTGTGTAATGCAGAATTGG